CACATCTCAAACTTTGGAATGGGGAAACAAAAGGCTGGAAAAGTAAGGGATAATAAAAAGAAACAGCTGAAAGAACATTTTGTTACTGGCAACAGCTCAGTGACAGGATTGAGCTTCTTAAGAGAGGTAGTGTTTCCCAGAGGTTTAGATGGGCAGAGGTTCACCAATCTGCAAAAAACTTTGTTTACAAAGTTGTGGAACAATTTCAGAATGATGTTCCTCCCAGTGACTTTGAAACACCTCATAATATATGATACATAATATCATCAAAAATTCTGAGAATCGGCCGAAAATCAATATTCTCTCGGGTCTCTGCAGTGCATTAAAAGCAGGCATTAATTTTAAAATGGACTGAGGAAAAGTGGAAAACTGTTCTGACCTTACACAAATCAAGTCTTTTTAGAACACAAGCTAAGGCTTGAGGTTAGGTTTAGGTTGTGTTGTTGTCAGATACCTTACTGATCATGTGCTTGTATGTGTGTGTGTGACAGAGCATCTTCCTCCACCTGCTAACATCTCTGCATCGTTCAATAATGATAACCTGATTGTAAAATGGGACCTGCCTCGCACCAGAAACGCCGTTAATCCTAACTGTTTTGAAAATGAAGTGGAAATACGTGATCAGGTACAGTACGCTTCACCACAGGCTGTCATTATTCCAGATGCAACATTCTGTTTTTGTTTTTTTTTGTACGTGTGGCAGGAATAGTGAACAAGACAAACTTCTTTTTAACCCTGTGAGGTCTAAGGCTCCATATGTATGGCTATTTTTTTTTAAACAAAATAATAATAATGCTGCCCCTGCTTTGAAAAATGTTTCTGTCCTCATAAAAACGCAAAAACAGGGGGAAAAAACCAATGATTAGTGCTGTTAAGGGCATGCCAATGCAGCAGGTGTCAACTTAACCCAGACTGTACAGAAAACCTGCAAAGAATAACCACAATCTGATGCCAAAAAAGGAGATAAAGGTGCAGTCCTTGCAAGATAAAAACTGTGTTTTTATTGTAAGAAACTAAGCTTTAAAAATTGTAAAAGCTCAGTTTTCAGTTTCTTTGTAAAACAATTTAAAAAAGAGGGTTATGATAAGTCATACTTAGACCTCAGAGGGTTAATTGAAGTCCAAAGTCAGAGCAATCTTATCAGTCGGCCTTGTTAAAGTGAGATTAACCATTTTTTGATTAATCTCTTTAAAACAGGAAAAAACAACATCTTGGCTACCCAAACACCATACAAATCATACAGTGGCAAGTGTAGATCCTTCACACAGCTATAGCGTGAGAATGAGGACAAGAATATCATCGCATTGCTCAGGATCAGATCACTGGAGTGAATGGAGTCCCACTGTCACACCGTGTAAGTCCTCTATGTCTTCTTGTGCAGTGGTTGAAACAGTGGCTGATGATGCAGTGTTATAATTATCAACATGTCAGTTTAATGAACAGTGCTTTTGTGTTATGTATCTGTAGCGATGGAACAGTCAGATTCTGTGCTCAAGCCTGTGGTGATAGTCTTCATTTGTCTCGGAGTACCCATGGGCCTGCTGGCTTTGGTGCTGTTTGTGCGCTATCAGAGGTATTGTGACTCCTCCTTTTGCTGGTTTGTTTTGTTTTAAGCTGTTTGTGTCTCTCTGATCCACTTTGTCATGATTTTTAAATGTGAAACTGGTTTTAAATGTGAAAGAACAAAGTTGAAAAGGAGAAGTGAGAGAATGGCATCTTTCTTCACACCACAGCATCCACCCTAAAGTTCTTCAACCTACAGGCAAAAATCCCCCGGTTTGACTTGTTAACTAACCAAATAAGGAGAATGCAAAAGGAGATACAAGATAAAACACTTCCTCCCTTGCATCTGTTTTTTCCCCCCTTTTAAAACTAAAAGCGTGTCAAGGATCGTTTTGTGTATACTTGTGTGTTTTAGGGTGACTAAGGTCCTTTTTCCTCCGATTCCTCGCCCCCCAGCAAAGTACAAATATTTCCTGGAAAAAAGCGATGCATTTAATGTGAGTACATTGTGGACTGTGAATACACAAGCTCACATTTCTAACACTTTTCGAACCACAAAGATGTGTGTATACAAAATTTAAAAGCTTTGTTTCCTGTTTTGTGTTGCCAGTTTTTCTATTCTACCCCATCGGCTAAGCCTGAAGAAGTGATCACTGAGGTTGAAGACACTGGGAAAAACCCTGGGAAGTAATACAGGATGCACAGGTTGAAGAAGAACAACAACAATGAGGACTTTCATTATATCTAAATGTATAGCCTGTCTGGTTTTTCTTATATGATATTTCATTTCAGGAGGCGTATACAGGTGTTAAATACATGCAAAGGTTGTGTTTATGCGTTTCTATGTATAGCCTTGTAATCTAGCCTTTCAGATCTATATATACCTTTTATACCTTTTGATACATATAAAGAGTGCATACCAATGTAACAACAGCACAAAGGTTAACTTTGTATGTCTTTTTTTAATATGTGAAATAAGGTTGGGGGATGAATATTCATTAGCTGTTTTGAATCTCATTCACACAGCCTCATTCGTCTTAAGCCTTCTTTTTAGACGAGTGGTGAATTTGGAGTAGTTTAGCCTCTTAAGTGCATCCCAAGAAAAGCAAATATGGTATATTTAGAGAACTATTAAAAGTGCAAATTAAAATAAAAAGAAGATGAGGACTAAAGGGGACACAAGAACATGGGTCAGCCATGGGAGTCAAGCCAGCCTTGATAAAATGTGAGGATTTTAAACAAAATGTGAATAAAGCCAAGTTAACCTCAAAGAAGAAGTTTGAATTTCTGAACAGGAGATACCTGTTTTCGTATCAGAGATTTACATGCTTAAAACTACAGTTGTGTATGTGAAGCTGTTATACTTACCTTAGCGCACCGTAACAGTAACAAAACATTCAATTTTCTCCTAAAAGTAAACAAATGTTGAACCGTTGCAGGCTGAGAAACACAACAGCAGTCTATTGTGTGGTTTTTGCACTTTGGTTATTGTAAAGATTGAAAACAAGATATAGACTGTGATCAACCTGATGACGCTTAGAGGTGCTAAGATGGATTTTCACCACACTTTAAGTTTATCTATCAATGTGTGATCATGGGAAATTGTAGCTCTGTAGAGGCAACCACTACAATGATGGAACTTCTGTGTTGGTATTTTTTGTGAATAGATTTTGTCTAGTGATAGCATGCCAGATAGTTTTGGCTAGTATGTGATCAAAATGAAAGCCAAATTCAAACTTGTACACAACATAGTCAGTGTATCGCTGAGTATTTGAGCATTAACACGTACCGTATTTTTTGGACTATAAGGCACACTTAAAATCCTTTAATTTTCTCAAAAATGGACAGTGCACCTTATAATCCAGTGTGTCTTATGTATTGTGTTATGTATTATGTATTGTATGTATTATGACCTCTAGCCAGTTTTATGTGGTACACGGCACTCATTAATCTGTCAAAAAATGTTTTAGTATGACATTGGTAAGCTACAAAGCCACAGATCTTGATGGATTGTTGGATCATTACGGCTACCGTAGTCAGGAGCCTCGCGGGGTATAACAGACCAAACTTCAGTCAGGAGAACAACTGAGATAATCCATCCACAATATGAGGTTAGTCATTCATATACTGCTGCATGGGCTGTAGTTACATCGTAAGGTTTTAAAAACTGAGCTTAAATAAATGATTAGCGGTAATAAAGCCGAGGGAGGTCAACAGTGATCACTGACTGTTTTTAGGAGCTTTTTGAGATTAAATAGAAGAAAATACATAACATTAAACATGTTAACAACACAAAAGCCATATTAAACGCAGACTACTTTAGGCCCGGAAGCAGGATTCGTCATGTCATCACTTAAAGACCGGATAGAGCAGCTGCAAGAGAATTCAACATTATTGAATCAGTGGTACAGACTTGGAGGAAGCACGAAGAATGAGTCGAGTCAGGTTTGACTTATCTGACTGTTTTGTTTCACTTAATGCGTCTTATAATCCGGTGCCCCTTATGGTCCGAAAAATACGCTAAACTATTGCCAGGGGCTAAGGTGAGGCAGCTCTACATTCTGGTGTAGCAGTGCAGCGTGGGAAAATGAATCACTTAGAAAAAAGTCACAAAACCTTTCTACTGTGAACTGTGAGCACCAGTAAATGTGTTTTCTTCATGTGCTTTTTTCTGGTCTTTACTGGTCATGGTGGATTTACATCATTGTAAAGTATATAGGAAAATGTTATATTAGCCGCCATGGCTGCTGTCCAATTCATAGACATTATAAAGATTTTATAAAGCTGGAATTAGGAAAACAAAACTGTAACTAAAGAATATCATCAGCTTTTTAATTTAGAAATTTTAAATTCTGGACTCCTTCTAGAAGGAAGTCCTGCTGCTCAGCAGCCATGAACCTATTACAAGTATAAGTATTACACAATGTATTACTGATTACTTTTCCACCATGTAGCATAAATACTGATTGGAGATGTTAATTCTTTACATAACTTTTCTAATCTGTAAAATGACCTTAAATCCACCTTTACATAATTACCAGCTAACAACAGAAAGGCTACAGTTCCACACACCGGCCTAAAGAGATTTCATGGCGATCACCATAGCGATTCTGCTTTAGAAACATGAGCAGGCAGAAATAAAGGCTGCAAGACTGACTGCTTACATCTGCCTTTATTACATGTTGAAGATCAACCTTTCGCTACTGGGCTTTGAATAGTATTAAGCAGCAATTTTTTTAATTAAAAGATATTTTCAACAAGATATAATCAGATAACTAAGAGCAACTCATCGTGTACAGATCTCCTGTCTTAATGTGGGAAATTTATTTACATTTATCGTTGGAAACTGAAATTGGCCGGGCCGCGCTATGAATTCTGGGATATGGTGGGCCACAAAGGACACACCCGACCGATCCTTCAAATTCGGGGAAATGAAGGACGCATTTGAAGTAGTCGACGGATTGGGACAGCCTTCGTCACCTGGCTGTGACGTAATCGGCCATCAAATGCAGCCTCCGAAGGATGCAGCCTACATTTGGGACACAGCTCTTGTGTCCTCTTTCTTTCAGCTTTTGTCATCCCTCAGATTACATTTATTACACATTAACCTTACTTTTCTCCCTTAAAGACACAACAACTGTATCTTTAGCTAGCAAAAACACTGCTTGCTAATCTGTACAGGAACCATTTGAGTGGATGCTAATATTTTTTGAGCTGTTTGGAATTACTTGTCATACTTACATGTTTTTTTTAATTACCTCATTTATGCTTGCCCCTCCTCTGTTACACTTTTTTTACGTGTTTATGTTACTCAGCTTTTGCAGCATGAATGTCTGACAGGAACAAGAAAGTGTGCAGGCTTGTCCACAGCATCAGTGGGGAAAAACCACTGGCAGAACAGCTGTATTAGCTTTAAAGCATCTTGTTTTAAACTGCCCTTAATGAATGAAGGTGTTGGCAAGAGTTGCAGCTGATTCGCGCAAGACGAGAAGCTCTGTTTGTTTTATTATCCATCTTCTACCTGTCCATAAGAAAAGAAATTTGCACATTTCCACCCAGAATTTACTGTTTGTATACATTTCACAGTCACAGAATTCTATACAAAACTCCTATAATTGATCTGAGATAGTTTTTAAATATATTAACATTTAATTAGTAGCATAAGTTTAACAGATTTCATACCATAAAGTCATTTTCAGACCTGCTATCACATGTTGTCAGTTATTGAGATCTGTGAAAATGAAAAAAAATAAATGAACAATTAAAGTCGTTGCGCCAGAAAGTTTGGTGCTCACAATAGATTTCACGGTCTACCTTTCCTGCTCTGCTGCGTTTGCTACGTCGTTACAATGAGCGAGCATAAACCGATAAACCAGAACTCAAACAGTTCACTGTACACGACTTTCTCAACGAGACAGAATGCAAACAAACGTCAACAATCTTGATCCAAATACAGCACTTGTCAAAACTTCTACAACATAAAACATTACATTAAGCCTGACACCATTTGGACAGAAATCATTGATGTATGCACCCAAAAAGGCACAAACATCGATGAACGTAGGTCTGATGAAAAAGACACTGCATAAAATTAAAAAAACAAAAACAAAAGAAAACTCAAAAAACCAGCAACAAAAAAGTGCTCCCACTCATGGTGTGTGTTAAAACATTTAAATATCTTTCAGTAGCAGTTTGCGGGCTACTGAAAATATGTCTTAAACCATGACTAAATCAACACAAAAACTGAAAATAAATACACAAAGAAATTGAGAAACAGGGGCAGACGAGATGAGTGAGGCGCTGTGGTTTCTGTCGGTTTGATCGTCTGAGAGATTAAGAGCACGATGGCCTCAGTACACAGAGCTGCTGCTGCTGTTGTTCATTTCCATGTAAAGAAACTCTGTGGTGGAGATCAGTGAGACTGTGTTAGAGGTGACTAAATAGATTATGAGTCAACATAGACATTTTAAATGAGTTTACGGGTGTGCTTTTGCCTCCGTGGGTGAATGGGCCCTGTGTGTAAGCAGGGAAAAATATGCGCATGTGTGTATTTGTGTGTCATACCTTCGCCCAAGCTGTTTCGTACTCGTGTTTTGTCCAGGGGATCTGTGAGCGGGGCTATTCCAACTACAGCAGTCCTCCTGTAGCCTTCTATTAGTGCCTCCAGAGTCCTAAATGTTGGTGATCTGGCTGTTGAATCCTGCTAATCAAAGAAACAATCCCACATACACAAAACTATAAATGCCCGCCTTATGTTGTGTTTGTGTGTGTGTGATCTATATCTGTGTGTACCCCCACCTGAAGGCACCAGCCATCGGCAGAGCGTAGGAGCCTGTAGGTGTGAACAAACGGTGCTTTCCTGTAAAAAACAACAACACAAAAAACGACAATTCTTAAGTCCGAATGACTTTCTTTAAAATCTGGTGTATCTGAAAGTGCATATCTGAAAGAGACACAAAATGTGGTTTGGGGTGGAGGATGATTCAGTGATTTCAGATGTGTGTTTCACAACCTGAAACGAGTTGCCAGAGCAAATCTGATTGATGTGTATAGTCATATTTTCCTTTTTTTGTTGCTTATCGTATTATCACCCTGCAAAACAAAGGTTGCAGTCTGAATTATTGTGTCACGGCATGTGGCAAATATATTTTTAATAGAGGGCGTTGTTAAAGGCTTATTGTATTGTGCACTTCTGACACGTAACGCCCTCCACATGTACTCAGCTTTTGTTACATTTCTACATACGCAGTATGGGACACCAGCCACACTGCAGAGAACAGCCCAGTCTGGACTACATTTATGCTGGCTGCCTGTATAAGAGAGCTACCAGCATTACTAAGGACTCAATGTCACGGCCTGTGACCCGGCATTTTGAATTCACTTTTTATTTTTTGATTTGTTATATGATATTGAATATATGCTTAGTTCTGGTGTTGCCATTATTAGTTAGGATTTAGTTGAGTTTTATTCTAGTTTAGGTTCCCATCTATGTCCCCTTCTGTGAGTCTGTTCTTGTCTTCTGTGCTAGTTGTCATGTCTACGTCTCTCAGTGTTTCCTGTTTTATTTTGAAAGTCTTGTTTCTATGTTTACTGTGTTTAATGTACCTTACCCTGTTGTGTCATGATGTTCAATTGTGTCAGCTGTTTTCCCCATATGTTTCCACTTCCCCTAATCACCTCTGTGTGTATTTGGTCTTTGTGTTTTCTTTTAGTCATCGTCGGGTCATCTGTATTCCTTCATCATGTATTCTGCTCAGGTCGTGTTCAGGTTTCATGTTCTTGTACATCATATTTTCTCGCACGTCCCTGTTTAATGCTCGTGTCAGTTATCATCAGTGTTGGTCAAGTTACTTGAAAAAAGTAATCAGTAATTGATTACTTCCCCCAAAAAGTAATCCCGTACTTTACTGATTACTTATTTTCAAAAGTAATTAATTACTTAGTTACTTTTTAAAAACACAATTTACAACCTGAATAGGTGATAAAGCAATAGATCTTTCAGCCCAATTCTACTTTTTCTACATAATCCATCATACAAAATGTAATCAAATGGAAAAGTCTCTTTTTAAAACTTGTTTTATTAGTTTTAGTCTTTTAACTTTATGCATCAAGCAAAAATGTAATTATATGCAACATTCTCTGACTGGAAGAAATTTGTTTAAATATTTAAACCTATTTTCTGCACATTCCAGCACATAAAATTAAATATATTTTGTGTTTACACTCACTCTTTCAAATAGATGCAAGTAAAACACAGCAGAAAATAAATAAAGTCAAAGACTAGCGGTCCTTTTGCTCTATTTTCACCTGTAAAGCAGGAGTGGGGTAGGCGGAGGTTTACCCTGGTGCAGGTGTGCCGCGGCGGTCAGTGGAAGAATCCGCGAGTTTCTCTGTGAATTTCCCATTACGTGGTAGCGCACTCAGTGCTTGCTTGGAAGTTTAGGGGTTTTTTCGCTGTAAAAAGAAGTTTTCTTCCCACGCACAACGGACACTAATGTTTTTGTCACTTTTTATGGAATCAAACTCAAAGTAAGGTCAGTACTTCCACGCTTTAAACGCTGCATGCTCATACTCTCTCCCGCACTCGATATGTCATCCATTGTTGATCTGCACGCAGCTGTTGCCATGAATGTCGCACTTGCTTACGTCACTGTCGTGAGACATTCTCGCAAAAAAATCACGGTTTTAGTAACGCAGTAACGCAGCGTTCCTACGGGAAAGTAACGGTAATCTAATTACCGTTTTTGCAATAGCAATCCCTTACTTTACTCGTTACTTGAAAAAAGTAATCGGATTACAGTAACACGTTACAAGTAACGCGTTACTGCCCATCTCTGGTTATCATAGTTATCACAGATTGGTCATAGTTCAGTTTTTCCAGTTTGGGTTTTACTTTAGTTTTTGCCCTGCTCGCCTCTGATTTGTTTTGTTCTTCGTGTTTAATCAGTCTGGCTCATTTTTTTTTTAAAGACACAGTTCTGTCTCCTTCCCTGTCTGCACTTGGGTCCACTTCATCATCACACCGCTGTGCCCTGCCGTGACACTCAGTGTCTCAGATTTGGCAAAAGATTGCTGTATTTTTGTTTGTTTGTTTGTTTGTTTGTGGGGTTTTTTTGTTTTTTTAAAAGGCTCTAACAAAACTGCAATTTGTATCCCACCCCGAATGCAACAATGTGGATGCTTTTCTGATTTAACAAAGATCGCTTCAGGTTCTGCGTAACTGAGATGACATTGTGAAAATTTTAGTCCAATAAGAACTCAACCACAGCCAAGTATAAGAGTAAAATACTGCTTAAACATTGGTGCAACAGCGATATCGATCTGTGTAAAATATCAGTATATTAATCAGAGGGGCCAATTTTAGCTTGTGGGTAAAGTTTTAAAGCAGGAAGTACTTTTTTATTTATTTATATTATTTTACTTATGTTTTCATACAGGGCTTATAATGTATTTTTAAATGGGGGCATAAGTTCTTTCACCTAAGTATAACTTAAATACTTCCTGTCATAATTTTCAAGTACTACATAATAGCAGTTATAATTTCACTGGAGATTATGAAATTTTTCATTTCATTACACAGTGGGACTTAAGTCGTGGTTATAATCAAGATAAGATTAAATAAATAAATTGATTTAATAATATTTTTTTATTATCAATAATCCAGGTACTTTTATTTATCCAGGTAATTTTATTTATGCTACATTTAGCATAAAATAAAATAACATAAAATATTAGAAATGTTCTATTTAAATGCAACATTTATCAAATGACGTAGTGTCACAAAATGTCGAGTGTAACAAGCATCGTTTTAACAGTTTTAGAAAAATGGTCAATTATTTCCTACTTACATAGTGGGGCTGCAGGCTGCATCCTAACTATTCTAAATAAGCATTATTTTTGGTGTACTCTATTCTGCGTAGTGTTCTGTTGTTTAGTAGGAAATTACTATTTCTAATTTTTAATATACAGCATGGAAAAATATGAAATTTTAAAAGACTGAAGACGAGGGAGGACACAACCTTTCAGTCTGTGACTCCAAGGACCTCTAGAACAGTTCATTATTCCAGGTCAGTTAAGCTGACTCAGTGGAGCTTTCTAAAAAACAGTTAAAAACTTTTTTGTTTAATCGGGACTCCTGTTGATGTTCTTTTATTGTGTATGTTTTTCTTTTCTTCTGTTTTAACCTAGTTCTCTATCGATATTGATTGTGTTTTCATTGTTGTGCAGCGCTCTGTGACTCTCATGTCTGTGAAAAGCACACTACAAATAAGCTTTACTTACCTTGTTACACTCTCTAAAAGCTTTCCTTACCTTTAAACACATATCACTGAAATGCATAACAACCAGCAGCCCAAAAACCCAGTGTAAGAAACGGGGATTAAGATACTCGATAATAGACCCCACACCCCCTAAAAATACTGAGTCATTACAACAACTGAGAAAACGACAACTGAGCATTTCTCCTTTAATCTAAAATATCAGAACCAGACTCCGAGATTGTAGATTTATATTGCTTCATTTTGTTTTTCACAGAGCATTTGCACATTTCAGTCTAGTTGTGTGAAAATGTGTCCCAGTTGTGGGACTACGGCTTTTCTGTGTGCACGCTTGTCTACACGCACTCCCAGTGTCTGTGTGAGTTTTTTCTGGTTTCTTTTTTTCTTGTAAACCAATCCAACAGTAATCATTAATTATAATAAGTAAAGCATCATTTGTGTAGTTTTTATTTTAAAATACCAAGAAGGTATTTGTTACAGCGTAATTAGTATCTCCTCAGTTGTTACTCCCTTGTATCTGCAGTGTGAAATACAAAGTTAATATCACAGCGCTCTGTATATGTACTCATAAATACATACATAATTAAATCAAAAATATCCTAGTAAACTCATAAGTTTGCACAACTACAAGAAAACTGGCACTTTGGGTCACACTTGTACCGCTCCTCCGGCAGCTCACCTCACACACAGACAGTAGGCCCCCCGCACTGTGCTGCTGTCTCTCAGTAGAAAGCTGCCATCATACCCGAATCTCTCCAGCAGCCGCTCTGTGTCCTGACTTCCAATACTCCCATAGTAAATTGACTGTACCAGCCTCCCCTCAGTCTCCATGTTGGCTCAGTGGCAGAAACCCATCTGAGCCTTTTTTGCCAAAGTGCAGCAGACACCAGCAGCAGAGGAGTGTGTGAAAGGCTATGAGGCAGGAAAAGCCTTTCTGGTTTTCACACTTTTGTGTCATGCAGCTGCACTTCGCACGTTCTTGCACTTTTTTTAACCCGAATCATGCCTTTTATCTGTTGAAAAGCGAAAGTTTGTTTTCTCCTTTGCTGTTCGGCCCCTTTCGAATTGTTGTTCTTGTTCTGCAAGTCACAAAAGAGAGAAACAGAGGAAAATACTAATCAGCCGTGTTCCACCGCTTTAGGAGTATTTCTAATGCTACTGTATATACAAATGAAATGAACTGACACACATGTGTGCATGTGCATGAGCCACAACTGGGACTGAAAGAAAAAACATTTAAGCAGACAGTTTATATATGTCTGAAAATATATAAACCACACACGTATGCATACAGAGGTTCAAACTCAAAATCTCAATCACAGGTGTGGTTTGGCACTACCATGTTTATTTGTGGAAAAAAACTTAAAAATGGAGCTGAAGTGAAGAAACGCTTCGAAGAAATGTTCCTATTCACATTAAACAGCAGCATGAAGGAGCATCCTAGCTATACCGATTAGCACAAACAACAGCACAGCAACACAACTGTAATAGATCCAGTAACTCTATTAAGAGTAATGACCTTAACTTTTTCATGAAACGTGGTGTAAATCAGCTGTATATCACCACACGTTTTTTTGGACGTTTATCTTATAATAATCACGCATAGTTAATTATGTCAAAGAACAGAATGGGACTCACCAAGCACTTTAAATGTGTGAACCTGATTAGCTTCATTGGCCCCTTTTTCACTCCAGATTTGAGCATTTTCCTTGTTGGATTTTCCCGTTTTTATATTTAAAAAACTTATCGCCTGTATATACTCCCATGTTAGTTGCTTTTATTGTTTTAACGCTCCCCTTTAACGATAATAATCGAAACATCTATAAAGAAGAAAAAAAAAGCAGCAGCAAAAGGGATTTGTCGGGTTTACTGCATGTCATAACTATCTCCACCAGGTGTCGCTGGTGTCGCACTAAGGAACAGCAGCCACCATTAAACCGCTGGAGAAGAAGTCAATTTCTTCGTTTATTTCCCCTCGCCTCACTGGGCGTGACTGCTTCTGGACTTCTTCTGGGCAAATAATGATTAACCGTAAAAATTTGACCCGTTGAATCGACTGTGTTGTTCCGCCTCAGACTGAAAAACATAAAGCAGCCACATAAAACTGTGCAACCCGCATTTCAGCTGCAGCATTCAGGTTTGCACCACATCACAGGGAGGAGGACCTTCACGTTTGAAGCCTGTGTGGGAACTGGAGGAGATGGTTTCAGTGGTTGATGTGGACCGGTGTTGTGCCAAAAACTGACTTCTGGTTCTTGGCAAGAAGTGGCTGCCCATATTTGAAGTGTCACAAATAACACGTTGGCATGTAATATGTGAAATATATGTCAAATGTGACCCTCGTGAATGCTATGAAGTCTCCTTGGGCCACAAACAACATTTCTGTCACAAGGTAGAAGCCCCAATCAGTTTTTAGCAAAGTGATTTTTATTTATCTTTTATTTATACAGTCTAAAAGTCTGGTTGACATTTTTTTAAATGTGTTTTTAAGAGTAATCTGGCCAAGAGGGCTTTTCTACTCTACCTGAGTGCGCTATAGAATAGAATAGAATAGAATTCAACTTTATTGTCATTGCACATGCACAGGTACAGGGCAACGAAATGCAGTTTGCATCCATCCAGAAGTGCTTTAGTGATATAGATATATTACAATATATATTAGCAATAATATAGATATGTGAGTATATTACAGAAATGGGTCTGTTATGGTCAGTGTTGGGACTAACGCGTTATTAAGTAACGCGTTACAGTAACTACGTTATTATTGTGGTAACGAGCACGGTAACTAGTTATTATGCCAAAATCAGGAACGCATTACTCGTTACTGGGATTTAGATAGGGTCGTTACTCGTTACTTCGTGTGGTGGCTATCGCGGAGCTTCCACAGATTCAGTAACATTAGCAAGTGGTGGAGGCCAGCAGGTGGATGAAGGAAAAGGGACGCAGAAGGAAAAGAGACCCGAGGCGGCCGCCGGTCCAAGTGTGAACTGAACTTCAGGTAAGAAGTTATGACCTGCAGTCTCTCTGGGTCAGATATAAACCAAGTTTAGTTGGAGTTTATTTTCGTTATTCTGACTTTTTCCGTACTGCGTGCTAGCTAGCATGACGGAGTTTCTATACAGCTGGGTGGGTGCTATGAAGTTAATGATGTTGAACTTTATTTTGTTCATAAGTTATTAGAGTTGCCAACCGTCCCGTCTGGTATTCAGAGAAAATATTACGCGTTTCTTATTGAGGTGAAAAGAAACAGTTTGTCCCGTAATTCAGCTACAATGAAAAAGGCACAAAGCTGGATTTATTCTGTGTTTACGCTGCACAGCTGCCTCTTCTTCTTTCATTCTCCCCCCTCCCTCTCCCGTTTCTACTTCAGTCATGAAAACTGATCAATGATCAGCTGATCGGCTTTTCTCTCTTGTTTGTTTATCGCTCACTTTGCGCCGAAAGAGGAAACCAGTGGATGTCGCGCTAGACAACAGCAGCACGTTTAAGCTTGATCAGCTGTTGTTAGAATTTATTTAATATTAATTTCTAGTATCAGCTGATGTTTGCTGGAGCCACAGCTGCAAAAAAGCTGCTGGTCATGATATGGTTTGGTTATCTGGTGAGAGGGAAACATGAAGATGAAACCAGGAGATGTCCTTACTGAATCATCAGAGCTGAACAGGTGATGGAGAAACAGGTTTACCTTTTAGGTGACATGAATGAGTTGAAGGGAAGTTATGAACTGTTTCTGAGAGACAAATAACCCCAGGATCCTTAGCTGACAGCTGGTAACTGTGCAGGTGCGGATCTCAAAGTGTTGCCAGGGGGGCAGGTAGGGCATTAACAGGGAGAGGTGGACACAAGGAAATACTTTTCTTTCTTATTCTCATTTAAAATGTCTAGCTTTTAAAAAATAATTATCTGAATCTTACAACAAACGATTGATAGATTGATGCATATATACCATCAAAACAGTGAACATCACTGTCACAACAGCGTTTGTTTTCATTCAAAGGCTTTATGATTTTTCCTATAATGGTGGGCCGGTCTCTAGTCAAAATGCCCGGGCCAATTTTCTGTCCCAGTCCAGCCCTGTATGCAGCTCATCTGCAGTCTGGTGTTGCCTACATCTTCCTATTCAGAAGGCAGAATTTCTGAGTTCTGAGTACAATCGAAAGCACCACGACTGCAGTTTTTGTGTTGGATGTAAAAGGCGCACATGACTCTGTGACGTAGGCTAGAATCATGGCAGCAGTCAATGACGGTCCAGGTGTGGGATTTCTCTCGTGGAAATATGCACATTATCTTTTCCTTTCTATTGGTAGGTGGCACAGTGCACTTGTGGCAAGTAAGCAAGCTAGAAGACTGGCAAAGTTATGGAAGCAACACATTAACAAGAGAATTCTGAGTAAAACCAAAGTTACTTTCCCTAGTAACTAGTTACTTTGAAAGTAACGAGTAACTTGAAGTAACTGAGTTACTTTTGAGAGAAGTAACTAGTAATGTAACTAAGTTACTATTTTAAAGTAACTTACCCAACACTGATTATGGTATGTTATAATGTACACGGTATGAAGTTTGTTGTGAATATTCTATAACTATAAGTATGTACAGGCTGTAGTGAGTACAAGCTATGTACAGGATATGAACAGGATATAAATATGAAAAACTATACAGAATATGAAATAAATAACTTTACAGAAATCTGAGATATACAGTTAAACAGAAATGGGAACTATGCAAGTTGTAAACAGTTGTAGGGTTAAAAATTATCGAATGTACAGAATGATTATTTACACAGAGCTATACAGTAGTGCAGTTAAGATAAGTGAGGGTGTAGATAGTTTCTACAGAGGCTATATAAAGTGCTATACAACTTGCCTTCTATGTAAGTGCTTTCTATCTAACATTCATACTCCTATGGATGCATCACATAACAACTTGGGCTTCGATGTCTTGCCCAATGAAATTTGGCATGTAGACTGGAATCGAACCACCAACTTTCCAATTAGTAGATGTTCTACTTCCTGAGCTACAGCCACCTCTACATTATGATTTCTAAAAACATCATAATGCTGAAAAAAAGCTTAATAATTTTGAGCTGTCATCATCACCTGATTCAAACAGCAGTTAAGCATCACCAGTCCTCTCACCGCAGCCTGTAGCACACATCAAAGAACAGCAAGCATACGGAGTGATTGTTGGATACGTCATATTAAAGATGCTAATGTTTTTGTTTTTCATTTAAACTGTAATTACAGCAAACAGTACAGTGGTTAGAACTGCTGGCTCATGGCAAAAAGGTTCTGGGTTTGAATCCAGCTGGGGCCTTTTGTGTGCAGTTTGCATGTTCTCCCCATCTCTGCGTTGGTTCTTTCAGCCCTGTGATAGATCCAGTGTGCACCCCACCATTTACCTAATGACAGAAAATAAATGGATGGATTTGTCTTTTATTTATATAGCACCAATTCACAACAGTTTCCTTAAGATGCTTTACTGGTCAAAAAAATGAATTTCCTGGGGTTTTTTTTTTGGGGGGGGGGGGATTGTCTCATTGTTGCCCCTCTGGTGCACCTATTGTTAATTTCATTAACCTCGAAGCAGCTGAAACTGATTAACAACCCTCTGAAGCAGCAGTAAAGCAAGATGTTCTTGGACCTTATTGGAGGTGGGCATGTCACTAGCATGTGCATGATGTGCATGCACATGCTAGTGACAAAGAACCACCTGTATATTTTCATCTCATTTTAATTCACTTTTGCATACATTTGTTTCAGCCGCTGAATTCACTCAGCTCATGTTGGTGAAATATTTTCCTGCAGTTTGCACTCCTCACTTTCTATGGGTCACCAGAAGAGCACATGCATTATATATATACTGAATATATTTTCTTCACTGCTTGTTACAAGTAAAAATGACATCGGGTCCAGTGGGATAATGACTCAATATTTTTTTCCAATCTCCTCTTTATGTGTGCTCCCAAAGTCCCCACAGTCCCCGTCTGTCCCAGAAGATATGTGAATCGTCTCAAAATAATCCACTGTCAGTGGCATCCTAAAAAAAAAATCATCTCATTGTTATCTTCCTGTCAGACTCTTCCCATCAATGACTGTCTTTGTCAAAACTCCTACAGATATCTTCCTAAATCCCATCAGGGGTAATTATATGTAAATCCATCTCTCATTTCACTTTGTGGTGCTGTGTGAGCTGTGCATGGCACATGTTTATCATTTAGAAAATATTTTTCAGTATTTTATTACTTTACACATATTATGGCATTTAACATGTTCATGGGGTTTAAAACAGAGAAAAAAGAGAAACCTGCCATCGCCTGACGTGAATACTTTAAAATAATGCCTGGTAAAAAATCCACTACCTAGGACCACCGGATGAGTATTTGGACTCTTGCTGAATCAGCAACATGTCAGATGGTACAGACCTCACTTTCACCTTTTCCTGTTTAGATTACCCATGTACTGGACGGCTACAGCGTGCATATCTGCACTCTCTGGAGGGTTTGTGAGTGATAGAGAGATTTTTAAGGCTGTCATACCTCTCCTGTCCCCAGCATGGCTGTCATGATTAACAAGCATTTCCCAGTAGAAGAAGAAGAAACTTCACTAGCCAGCCTCTCAACCTGAAAGAGCCAGGTGCCAGTGGAGACGTTATTTAGGAGGTTCCAAGAAAACAACCCCCTCGCTCTCAAGCAGCCCGGATTAGTTGTTTACAACTGCTTTTACCTCCTGTGCTACGAGTGGTCTCCTGGCCACAAAGTAGAAACAGGAAATCTGTATGTGGTTTCTAACCACAGTCTTATTTTCATTCGCTACTCATATCTCAGGCCCAGACTCAGAGCCTCACTCACATTAAAGCATAAATATAAACACATTAGAAAAAAGTAGTTTTTACTTCGCATGCATGTGTCAACACACAGGGCGCACAGCTGACAGCAGAGCCATCATAAAGCACACGCTTATGAAACAAATAGAATAAAAGATTAAAAGAGCAGGTGGTGGCTGTCGGCTGCTCTGTGCTGGCGTCGTCCTGAGTGCACTGATACCCGAGTTTGAGATAAACCTGGATCCATTAATATCACTTTTGATTAAGTACAGTTTAAATTTGGCAAATTACAAACCAAGTCTCTCTCTAAAGTCTTTACCATCCATTTTTTAAGTCAATTTGCAGATTTGGGGTGGAATTTCTTTTTTCTTCTGATGTTTTGTCTGCCATCTAGTGGGGGCCTTAAAAATAAAGTTCTGTCTGGGTACTCCGTCTTCCTCCCTTCCTTCCTTTCTTCCTTTCTTTAATTGTTTTTCCAGTTTACTGGTGAGAGAGAATATCAACCAAAAATCCAGAAAAACACAAGTTATAAAATACAAAGATTTGTATCTTGTCGCAAGTGGCAGCATATATCTAATCAAGCACTCTGACTGCACTTTAATACTATTTTATGTACGTATATACACATTCCAGAGAGAAAAGACTAGCAGCTAGCAGCTCTACCCCTCAGCCTCCTGGTAGATGCAAACTATGTTATTAATTTAATAATTAAAATCCTACGTCTCTCCTTGGTTTGTCTACACCAACCTCCTGCCCAGCTGGGTCATGACAATACTGCATCAGCCTTTCACGGTTGAGGGTTAAAAACTATTGTTTTATTTAGATTTTACTTCTGTACATCTTTTAAAGTTATGGCTTAAAATAGAAAAAGAGCTCAAATGACCTAAGACACCAAATAAACTAATGTTCCCTTGCCCAGCTGCCAGCTGTTTTTAGCTTAGACAGGAAGAGAACACTTATTCGTCATGTGAACTACAGCTTTCCATTTCTGTATTTCCGTTTTGACAATGACTCATAAGGTGCCCATTTTTTATTACAATCAACTGAAAGTTAAGACTGAAAAATGTGCAAAAAACCGGAAAGACTTCAAAAGACTTTTTTCAAATATTATAATATACAATTTTTAAAAAATAAAGCCCCACTGTGCTTAGATATAAAGCCCTCATCCTTCAGATTAAGTTCTGAAGTTAAGCTATTTTAAGTATATACACGGACACAGAACACAAAGTGCTCCTCATTCACTTCCTCCTCTTCCTTTTTCTTTGGCCATTAGAGAGTTGATGGTTTGCAGCTCTGCAGAGAACCTCTCATTAAGATCTTTGTTGGTTTGCAGGAACCCTCCCAGACTCTTCAGCCGCTCTGTGTCCTAAAGAAGCAGTCAGCAGAAGTCATGAAACATACTCCTTTTATGCATTATGTGTAAAATGCATAAACAGAAATGAAGGAAGGCCTTCGTTCCTTTTCCCACCTGTGTCTGGCTATCAGTATCCTCATCAGCAGCATGCAGCAGCTCCTGCAGCATCTCTTCTAGCAACTCAGCTTCCCATTGGCCGACGTCAGCACCAGACTCCTTATGGCTGACAAAATCAGCCTCTAATCCATCGCCCAAGCCACCAGAATCCATTTGATCCAAACCAGACACATATATTGACAAATTGAGGGTCAGCATCTAGGAAGAAAAAAATACACAGAAACTGTTACAGAACACAAACACACGCAGACAATAGTTCGCTTCTATTGCAGGGCATTTCCAGCGGTGGCGCTACACAAACACGCTTACCTCGTCTATTTTGTTTCCAACTGTTGCCATCTCAGGTACGTGTCTGAACTGATTCACAAAGTGGTTCAGAGCGGTCCAGTAGTGTTGCATCCAATCATCTGTCACACGGTACTCAGAAGAATGCATCAGCTCGTTCCTGCATCGGATCACCTGGAAGTAAACGAACACGTTACAGAGTACCGGTTAAAACAATCATCACACCCTTTCAAATCAATCTGACCAGCGATAGCAGGAATACAACTCTGGAAAATTATAAGACAACAACTGAATGAAATTGGAAAAAAGTATAAAGTTTTTACATGACTAACAGAAAACGTGAAAAGTGCCCGTTTGAACAAAAATCAGTGAGTACCTCTCTGACCAGTTTTGGATCCACGAATGAGAAATACGTGCAGTAGTTGATCAGGTTAAGCAGAGCAGGGGCGTCGCATTTATCCGCACCCTTCACCTTCGCCTGACCTCGTGGCATGAAGGCCTGCAGACAGAGAGAGAGAGAGAGGGGCTGCCATTAGCTCCATGCACTCTGCATCTTTCTACAAAATGCAATGTTTACATTTTTTTTTTACTTTTAAAGTCAATTGTTGTTATTACATAGTACTTCAAGATATAACAAGAATAATGTTGTTAAGCAGCTCCAATCCAACGAATGGTTTGCAAAGACATTGAAACTCACCATCTTCTCTTTGCTCTGGTGGCTCCTGACTGCAGACTTTGACAGTGATGTGTAATCTCTGACGAGCTGCAAGTTCAGTTACAAAAATGCCTTTTTGACTGTAAATTTCAAGTTCCTATGAACAGCTGCCCAATGCAAAAATCCATGTCAGAACTTTTACCTCCTAATGTGGTCATAAACTAACAAGAAAACATCAGGCAGGACATGTTCATCACAGACAAAAGAGCCTGTGTGACGCTCGGAAAGAGTTCCTGATGCCTTCAGTGATCACCGGCTACATGTATAATTACTATGGTGAACTGTCTGCAGTACAGCGGCAAACTTTGGCTATGTGTCAGAAAATAAAACCATTTATCAAACAACTTCAAATCCTTTGTCTAAGCTGGAGCAAAAGTGCATTTTACTACAAAAGCAAATCAATAAAGCTGATTTCCTGTACATTCAAAGGGGTGAAATAGAGAAAACAGCACACAATACATTTATCAAACTTCTTAAATTAAATCTGAAAGCCTGCACTTCAGCAACATTAGAACTGTGTCATTGTTAAACACTTTATGAGTCTGTATGTTTTTGCCCTGCGCTGGCACAGTTATTATAACTTTGTATTTTCTAATTAGTTTTCGGGGGGGGGGGGGGGGTTTCATTTCGAAGTTTTGCTTTGAAGTCACTTTCATTTCAGTTACTTTCCGTTTCGCTTTTTATTGTTTGAAAATGCTTAGAGTTTTAGTTGTCATTAGTTTCAGTTTCTAGTCCTTTTAATTATTTAATAAGCTGACTAAGTCTTGTTAACATCAGGAATCTCACAAACACATCCAGCAAAGCCTCATCAGGGAAGTTGTGATAAGATTTTTTTAAGCCAAACTAACCAAAAAAATAAAGCTTCCTCTATATTTTTTATTTTTATCTTAGTTAGCAGGTCAAAGTTCCACCAAGACTCAATTTTATTTTACTTACTTTTTTTTAAGTCACGCTTTTCACACAGTTTTAGTTTTTTGTTTACTTTTAAGTTTTACTGTTAGATACCAGAAACATGCACCTCACAGATTCTGCTGCTCTTTCTAAGTTGGGGCAGCAGCTCATATTACAGCTGCGTCTCATAACGCTGGCTTTGTTATGTGCTTCCTACCTTTGCCACCTCCCAGTGGTCTGTCCTCCAGTATGGAGGGAAACAGTTGTCCCAGTTGACTGTAACATCAGGCTGCCTGTGGTGTCTCAGGATCGCCTTCTGCCACTCTGAACACACCTTGCATCCCGACAGCTACACAAACATAAACATACTTGCTGTTTAAAACCTATGTGAGTTAGTGCGACAACAACAACAACAACAACAATAATAAAAATAAGCTGAAGATCTACTGAGAGCACACGGCCTATAATAAAGGTGGCAATAAGCTCGTTGTGGTTGATCACCTGCCACAGGTAAGGGCATTTAAGTGGCACCAGCTCATTAAATGACGAAGCACACCTTATTCCCTCTAGGTTTACATGAATCCCTGCACGGGCTCCGGAGCACAGCGCTTTGATTAAGCAGATCTCCGTGGAAAGCCCTCATGTGTCGGTCGGTAAACGGGAGGAGGCCATCCTTCAGTATGAGCAGACAGCGTCCCGCTTTCAGCCAGTTTGTGTACTCTCTGTCGTTCAGACGAGCCGCCAGCTCCGCGCGGACCATCTTCAACTTTCTTCCTGTACACGACACAGAAGCAGCGCGAGTTCGCCTTCGTCATTAGCGCCGCCCACTTTGTGCAAACAAGCCACTGGCCGCAAGATGGCGCCATTTACTTTGCTACTGCTAACCTAGCGGCTTTCAAGAAATATGGCTCTATTCAAAGGTCCTAAAGTGCTGTGTTTTAGGAATAGGTGTTGTGATTTATCCGTGTGTCTGTCACACAGAGTTCAAATGCCTGCAGAGAACTACTGGGAGGGACTTGAGAGCATGCTGGGGTGTGGACTGCTTTCTGGCAGACATTTGTTTGTCCAGAGTTATAGTGTGAGGGTTTAAAAGAGCCAAAGCTACTCCTGCGCAACAATTAGTGGAATGAGCTGTCACATTTTATCTAAAAGGAGCTCATTTGTGCATTTCTTTCTCCCCCTTAAAGGTTCCCATTGATCCTGTTGGGTTGGTAGCTTTTACTGATACAGATGCAAAGATTAAAGGCTGACTCATGAGCACTGCAGCTGATGCTTCATGACAGAGTCGAGATTATTACTGATGATAGCCCATAGAAACATAACAGCAGCAGCTCCACGCACAGCAGCATTACAGGAGCGAAAAATAGGTTGAGCTGACGAGTAAGAAGCTGTAGTTTGATCAAATCATGGGGACAGCTATTTAAAAATGCATTCTAAATGTAAAAAGATGATAAATATTTGACGTTACAGGGCCAATTTATCCTCATTACAAATAAATAATGAATGCATCATAGGAGCAAACATATTTTGCCAGGTATTTGGATGAACAAGATGGGATTTCTACTGCCACCTTAATGTCCTTTGATGTTAGTGCCTTGAAGCACCAACTGCAGCAGTATGAGAAGCTGAGGAAGAACAGTCCTCGTTTACAGTGCGATCAAGTCAGCATTAGCAGGTCGAACGGGTGATGCTGAAGTAAGTTTTGATCACTCTCTATTCCAGTGTGTTTCGCACTTTGTGTTGCTTTGTTTTCAACTAAGCACCAAGGCTTAGTTAAGTTTACACACCAAAAACAAAAGATCGTGACTGGGTTAAAACGTACACATTAAAAATACAGTTTTTAACACTGCACCACTAGATGTCAGTAGATTGTTGATTGCAGGTGACTGAATTGTTTTCTTACTAGTACAATTGCAAGTAGGCCTACATAATCCTAGCTACGTAGATGCTGTAGGACATGGTGGGTCCACAAACTGGAGCCCATACCTGAGCCCCGTGCATTTTCTTCTGTTTTCTTTTCTGTATTTTTAATGTCCAAGTGTCCATATGTGACGAGTTGGTGGAGAGAGTCTCATCGATGACATAATATGGTACAGCAATGGAAACTTTGTGCATATCTGAGGGATGCTTGAAGCTTTGACACAGTATTTAAAACCTTATGAGTGAGAATAGATTGACACTAAGATACTTTTATTTATTTCTTTGCAGTTACACTAAATCAAGTTGCTTTCACAAATTTTAGTCTTTAATCGCTGAGACTTAAAAGCAAACTGTAAAGGCAACATTGACTACCAAACAGATTAAACAACTGAGTTAACAAGTCTGTGCCTATATTTACCTATTTACCCATAATGAATGCGTGGTGAATGTTTGCTCTCCTGTAAGCTTTGCTTTGGTCTCCTTTGCAGAGAGGAGTAGCTGGCTCTGAAGCTGCTGCATGACCTGCTTTGTTCACTAGCGAGTTTCCAACTGTGTGGGGGCTTTTTCACCAAAATTGTCTGGCCAGTGCATCTAAAAAAATACACATACTGATGATAGCTTGCAAGAGCTATAGACTGTAAATAAAAGGTGCATGTTGCCTCTTGCTGAAAAGTGCAACTAATGATTAAAGTCTTTTAAACTTCTAAAATTAACTAAAGCTTGCAGGAGATAAAAACAAACAGACTTTGTACTGAAGATATCAACTAAAGTTGAACTAAAGCTAGACTGCACTTTAATATAACATCCAATTAGTACCACAACATGAAAGTCAGGTAATCCTTTATTTAACTAGGCAACACAATGAAAAACTTTCTTTTTTACAAGTCTCCTGAGGAAACAGTGGAAGGGATCAACTGTTAAAACAGTGCTCCATTTGTGGTGAAGGTTTTAGTTCAAATTTGCAGAGCATTATTATAAATGGTACTTTTAAAGCTGCAGTCTTTCTGATGGCCACCAGGGGGCATTGGATGAAGAAAGAAATCTCTTTCAGGGCTTTGGAGCGTGATGTCACGGGGGTGGGCGTGGAAAGGATTTTGGCCCGATCCGCCATTTTGGGGGTCTAGCGCAAGTGAAAAGGGAGCGAAGTCACACACAACAGCCATGGTTAGTATTTGCTGTGTGGTCGGCTGCAATGTTCGATCGCACGACCGGCAAGAGAATAAGCTTGAAAAGGGTTTATCTTTTCATTCTTTCCCAACCTGGAAGCAACATGAGGCAGCTCGTGTATCGATGTTACCAAACGAAGGCGTCTAGTCTGGATAGCAGCTGTGAGACGAGCTGATATCCAGTTCTCTTCCATCTCCAAATATCTGTTGGTGCTCCTGACATTTTCATTCCGGTAAGTTCTAAATATGTTCATATCACTTTTTATAGCCTATTAGTTTTATTTTCGATGCGCTCTGAGCTCATAGCAAATTAGAACAAACATCCTACTGAGTGATTTTGCAGAACTACCTTCTATTTATAGAGTTGCTAATTATTTGGCATTATTGCAGCAAATTTCATCCATGAAATGGATGAAACATCGTGACTGGGTTCCAGCACTACACAAGGGACCTGCTTCAAACATACCATCATGCCAATCAGATTACTTCTTCCATGTGAGGGTGAAGAGGTGACTCTCCTGGATAAGATGGTGAAGGTTTGCTGCGTTTGTTGAACAGTGTGATAATAAAACCAGGGAAAATGAAACCTGCTCCTGTTAAATATTCTTAACTCATTCACTGCCAGCCATTGGCAGTGAATGAGTTAAACCCATTGACTCATTCACTGCCATTGACGGCTATAGACGTCAATGGCAGTGAATGAGTTAAGTATTGTGCTGTTAAAATTGCTGTATTTTTTCAAAAGATACAGTAAATAAAGTAATGTTAGTAGTGGGTGATATCATGTAAACACTCATGATTTTGTGTAAACATTTTGTCATTTGTAAACTATAAATGACATGGATTCTACATTGTAACTGATGTGATGCTCTATAAGGTGGTTTTAATAAAAAAAAAAACTGGCAAAAATTAGTTTGTTTGTTTATTCAACTTTTGAACAGCGGGACTCAGTCAGTACATATTCAGTAAATGCAAATTATTTACACAGCAGTGCACTACAGGCACAAATCTAGACCCCTAGATAAAAGATTATGGGTCATTCCCACAACCCACAGCTTTACTGTGTTCCAGCAAAGTATCCAATAGCAGTGACAACTCCTCCACAGTAGCAGGTGGGATTTTTCTGTTTTGAGGGACGGCTCCTTTTCCCTGTCACTACAGACGGTCTGTTTATGTTTTGATTGAGAGCCTTTTTTTGGGCAGCTGAAGAGGAGAAGTCTATCTTATGGCCAACCTCTGGCTGTATCTTGGTCATATTACCCAGCAAAACCCAGTATGCAGGTTCATCTGTAACAGTCCTTGTGCCACAGATCAACACTGTTGCTTCGAAATTAAACAGAAGAGCAGGGACATGGCAGCAGGTCTCCGCGACTCCGGCCATACAGGTGCAGTGGGCGGTTTCAACCTCCCCTGGGATGCTCACAGTGACCCATGGCTGCAATGCTGGTTCATTCAGTCTTTGAGAGTGCAGGACCTGAAACACACACAGACAAAGTTCATTTAAAGACAAGAAATATGAGCCAAGGCCGAGGTAAATGTGTTTTATCTACTTTATCATAAATGTAACAAAGTGTTTAGAAAGTTTGCACATACATGTCATTTTTCATTTCTTTATGTGTCCATCTATAGAACGCTGCATGTTATATTCTAAATCTGCCTGTTCTCTGTCAGAAACCTGCCTGCAGAAAATGAACCTAAAGTATGTAATGCAAGGATGTCATCACTTTAGAGATGGAGAAAGCATAAAGTGACAATTATGAATCACTTAGTATGATAAGGAGATTCTGCAGGTCATTAATCGATGTATAAAACTAAAATAAAATGTATTTTTAGTGACACAGGATACAAACATGGAAGCAAGATGTATAATTAGAATTATTTATAATAAATATGAATAAATCATTGCAACTTCTTTAACCATAAAGAACAACAATCCTTTAGGACAGTGTCTCATCAATGCACTGAACTGACTATGTTATCCCTCTAACAGCCTCCACACGTTCTCACTGTAATTTCCCCTCATGAATGAATTTATGCTGCACTAATGTGAATGTTTGCAGGGAAATCAAACGCATTCACTCGCAGTACTCAAGCTGACTTACCTTTGTTTGAATGACGACTTGTACGCGCTGACTCCACAGACAAGGTCAGGCTACGTCAGTAGCGGTTGGTCTTCAGGGTTTCTACTCCACGGCCGTATGTCATACGGGTCCACATTTCCAATGCACGCTCTTTTCTGCAAGTACCGCTGCTTCGCCTCTGGACGCAATCGGTCTCTATACAGTTCATTCTCTTTTGAGAGGCTCTTAAGCATCTTTCTTGTAGTCGTCGTTCCAACACAGTGTGTTTGTGTTGATTCGTAGACCCCGAAAATGGCGCTGCGCTCCCACTTGACCCCTGTTTCAATCCAGGGGGTCAGTGTTGACATTGTGGAGGACTATAAATACCTTGGAGTACACATTGACAATAAACTGGACTGGGCTAAAAACACCACAGCACTTTACAGGAAGGGCCAGAGTCGTCTCTATTTTTTGAGGCGACTGAGGTCCTTCAACATCTGCCAGAAAATGCTGAGGATTTTCTATGAGTCTGTGGTGGCCAGTGCGATCCTCTATGCTGTTGCATGCTGGGGGAGCAGGCTGAGGGTCGCAGATGCCAACAGACTTAATAAACTGATCCG